GGTTCGAATTGTATTGCTGTGGTATCGTGGAACACAGCATCTTCTCGACACAGAGAGTGTTCATATTTCATGGGCAGGCGGGATTATGCTAATTTGTTACTCGGTGACGTACATCGGTAACAGGCAGAAGATTCGAAAATATAACAACTTGTTAAGGCGATTCTGAGTCGACTCTTTCTTTTGAGAGACAATATCTTTATTTATCATGCACTTTTTTGATTAACAACTTTGCAGATTGTTAACATTGAAGGATAGCTACCTTACAAACTGCAAAAGAGATATTTTTCGAAAACCCATGGGACCTGCTCTTTAATATCGGCGCCGATAATCGGTCGACAACTACAGAAATCACAGCCAGTTCTTCTGTGATTCCTGAGAACATCCGGTCTCATCGCTGCTGCTTCTGTTTCTTCAATAATTCATTAATGCTTTCATTGAATGAATATTTGATAACGGCAGCCGTTGTGAATATGGGACACAGAGTAGTAGTCAGTGGTTTGATCATGGTCACTCTGTAGTGCACTAGATCCTCAAAACGGCACACTTTACAGCTTCATGGATGATAAATGAAGCTCCAGAAACACACAGACTCACTGCAGACGGGTCTGTGACGGAGGGAAGAAGAATGTTTAGTCCTTTAATCTGTTTATTTACTGACGCGGACAGTAAAAACATGCTGTAAAGTCGATGTTTGAGAGATGACTTGAGTGTGCAGTTAGAAGAGGCTCTTAGAATAACTTGTTTAGACTCACGCGAATGCTGTTTACAGTGATGCACTGATGTTTGTTAGAGTGGTTCTGTTGATTTCTTAAAAGAAACCAACGTTCTTCTTCAGTATATCTGTCTCGGTTTCCAGTACAAATATCTAAACATTCATAAATCAAGATGCATTTACAGTGACAGAAGATAAGAAGTGTCCAAGTGAAGTTTATGCTTCAAACAAGAAAAATTATTTGCCAGTGGAGTCAGAAAAATCTACTTGTTTTCCTTTTGAATTATGTTGATATTTCTGACTCTATTGGCAGAAATTTGCTCTTGTTTTAAACATAAACTCACTTTATTTTCACTTAAAGACTTCTTATCTTCTGTCATTGTGCATCTCCAGTAAATGCGTCTTGATTTAAGAATGTTAAAGCAATAAGCCTCAAGAAGCCGTGGTTTACAGTGAATTTATAACAGCTAAGAGGTGTTGTTAGGCATGACGCGAAGCGTCCTTAGCTGTTATAAATTCACTGTAAACCACGGCTTCATGGGGGGTATTGCTTTCATAAAACGGTTATTCCATATATGTAGTAAGGTTTCACAGAATAAAACAGCAAATAAAGTGTAATGATATTAATAAAAACAGTATTCTTCCACCAAACAATGTAGCTCCTCAGAAACAGTTGTGGTTGCAACAAAGTGGTTGCCGAGCAACAGACAAACGTAAACAAAGGTGTATGTTACTTTGTAGAGTCATTTACAACAGCTTCGAACACGGCTCAGCCAATCAGAATCAAGCACCGGAACTCTCCGTTTTATAATTAGATATTTGTGCTGGATATACTGAGGAAGAACTGTACTTTGCAGGGAATTATAAACCTTTTTGTATTAAAAATGTGTTGAAATGGTCTTTTTGAGGTGCTGCTGTTTTTAACCGTTAGTAATTGCTGCGGGTGAGTTTCCTATCTCGCTCTCATTACACGAACCGTCAGTGACTCACAGCTTTATTAAACTCTGAATATCATTAATTAAAGAAGCGGCTGCTCTGATGCTGCCAGATATCCTCACTGATCCTAATTAATCCATTAATTCATATCAGACGCTGCCGTGATGAGCTAAATCTGAAAATCTGACATCAGCATCATTATCATCGTCTCACAGAGTCGTTATCATCTGATTATTACAACACTGAACAAACATCAGGCTGTTTTACAGGCTCGTCATCAAACTGCTTATTCATGTCCTAAACTTGATGTGCTGTTTAACACATTAAAACATAAAAAATAATGTAATTAATTTGGAATGGAGCTGTTGAATTATTGAACTAAACAGTCAGTAATAAAATAAAATTAAGTAACAAATTAAAAGAAAATAAAAACAGTGTTTGATGCATTTCATGTATGCAGCTGCAGTATCATTATTCCAGTAAATATTTGAAGTAGAAATATAATACAATATATTTACAAAACACAAAAAACATTTCTCATTTTCAAAACTTGAAGCACTAAAATAAAACAACTAAATAAATAAAACCCATATGGACTATTTTTAAAATATATAAAATTATATAAAAAATACATTAAAATATGTATACATTTAAAAAAAAAATATATATATATATATAATAATTTATTTAAATGATTTTCATTTAGCATTTTTATGATTTATTTAATTATTAGCTTTTTATTAACTCACAAACCCCAGTTTGGGAAACACTTATTTAGATATAGTGCATTATTGTATTATTATATATGTATTTAAAGAAGTGCAAATGCATACTAAAGGTGTGGTTGTTGTGTCGGTTAAACTCCTCTGATCAGTGATGTGTGTGATAAAGACAAAATCATATCAGCTCATGCTAACAGCTCATCGACTCTCTGCAAATGAAGCTGAGTGTTTGCGCTGGTCCTGCAGAGATGACTGTAATTATCTGTTGATGAGAAGCTGAACTGAGTCTGTGTGACGCTGCACTGGAAAGAAAACACAGCAGTAATGAGTGCATTGTGTGTTTGTGTGTGTGTGTGTGTGTGTGTGTGAGAGAGAGAGAGTGTGTGTGTGTGTGTGAGAGAGAGAGAGTGTGTGTGTGTGTGAG